GCTCCGGGGATCATCCGAGGGAAGCGCGCGCATCTTGGCGTAGGCCTCGTTGTACTTCTGGATGTAGTCCTCGTCCACGAGATGGGCGGCGGGGCGGGTGCGCATGGGGCCGGTGTCGGGCTTGAAGTCGATGGTGTCGCGCTTGGGCTTGGGCGGGCAGCACGCCACGAAGGTGTTGGTGTTGGCGATGTTGGCGGGCTGGCAGCGCTTGAAGGTGGGAGATCCCACGGGCTCGGCGAGCGCGGGACCAGTAGGGGACGCTGCGAGCGAAGCTCCGCCGGCGATTGTTCCCGCCAGGAGCTCGCGGCGATCGATGATCGAGGCCGGAGTGGAGCTACCTTTCTTGGAGGGGAAAGAGGGATTACCAGACTCCCCTGTTGCTGCATTGGCTTCTTTCCTGGCATTGGCGGTGATCTTGAGCGTACCCCGGGAGCGATTGGGCAGAAGTGGGCATCGGCTCCGGTGCTGGAGCTTGACGCGATCGAGCGAGAGTGCCGCGGAAGACATGCCCAGCAGCGAATCCATGCTGGATGAGAGATTCCAAACCTCGACTGACGACGTCGTAGGAAGCGTACCTTTTTAAAGGACGAACAAGCTCACATGACTCTCGTGGGAGTAGTGGCGATAATATTTCAGACCAAAGTGATCGGACTTTGATCCACGAGAACCCCGTGTCTCTTAGAATTCTTATCAAAACTGCCACGTCATTGCAGCCTTTAGTAGGGTTACCGTCTTTTCAGGAGACGAGCAAAGATATGCTTGAAACAGCAGTGAATGAGGGGAATTCGTAATTGGCGTAAGTTTATTTGATATCCATCTGCACGGTAGCATTTCCACGGTACGGCCCAGCTTGTTCTCTGATTCCGTTCGCTTTGAACTGTAGTTGCCACTTTCTTGAACAAGCCATGTAAAGCTTTTAGCAGAACATCGCCACAAGGTAAACACTTAAATTACCTTCGCCTTTGATAGGCTAGGTTGTGTTCGAAGTGTTTTTTGAGCCGCTGCTCACCCACCTTTTAAACGGGTCGATTGCCACATTCATGGAAATCCGGACATTAGTCGTCACCTTCGCCTACAACATTCGAGGTACGTGCTGAATGAATCTCACGCTTGACTGTTCGATTTGTGAGAGCTTAAGGAGCTCCGGGAAAGCACCAAAGGTACAAACAAGAGCCGAGGGGAGGGAGTTGGCCAGGCGTTTCCTAGGCTTGGGTTTCGTAGCAGTTTGATCGATCATGTGGTGTAGCTCGCACCAGTGTCGTCATGCATATACCACGCCCCGTTACTGTGGATCATAAAAGAAAGCTCGAACTAAAGAGAAGGAAAAACAGAGAACACGAACTCGAGTTGGCCGGGCGACGACTTCGTTCCTGCCACCTTAACGGAAAAGGGACGTCGAGGGGGCTAGGGCTTGATCCAAGGTGACCACTCTGACCGTACGCCTGGATCATCGAGTTCCAGGACCTCTCGGCATTCGATCAAATACTCTCCTAGCGTCCTCCAGGTGACCGCTCTCAGCGTACACTGCGATCATTGCGTTCCACGGGTTTGTGTAGCAGCCTTGCTTCTCGCTCCTCCCTGCTCCGACCAAAGATCATGGAGTTCCAAGACGTGACATCCGCCAAAACGCCAGCTTGGCATCGCTGATATGCCGGGCATGGGCATATCCCGTCCAAGAGATGATAATCTTCCAAGGCATTTGATCAGAAATTCCCTTGGCTTCCTCCGCAGATTGACACTGCACGCAAGCCAGAATTGCTGCACCAAGTCCCGGCAAGGCACTTTTTCAAAGACCCTGATACAATCCTCTTGGTGCCCAGATTGGGCATAAGCTGCTGATCTTGTGTTCCACGATGTTATATCCCTTCTCGGAATTTCTGGGAAGAGGCTCAAAGCTACCCCACATGACCGTCTATCCATACGCTACTCGTATGGTCGTCCTCGCCACGGCATCCTTGTGAGAAATCCATCAAACAGCCTTCTCGCTAGAACCATATACCTGTTGTGGGAATACGCTGCTACCATGGTCGTCAAAGAAACGCCGTCTTTCGGTGGCATCTGATCGCATCACAGCCTTGCAGTGTGATACTATCCAGCGGTGTAATACGCGGTGATAATAGATGCCCATGATGCCAATCCCAAAACGGCATTCTATCAAAGAGCCACTGTGATCGATCGATATGCCGAAGCTGGGCATTTTCTTAGACCAAAACGTTCCAGGATACTTGATCCTTCTCTAGAACAGCGATGGCGTGCAATAGTTCTTCTTCGCTTTCAGGAACTATAGAGCGTCTTATCGTGATGTTTCTCCTCAAGATCATACATTGCAACCAATGATGATCCCACGCTCTGAGACGCGCTTGGCATGGCCACCGGTAGATCACCGGTTCCGGGACAAGAGCGCTGGAGAGCTCGCATTGTATGGCGGGATTGCCGTTGTCGGGTTTGCGATTGGAGGTAGTGTGCCGAGCTCGCTGGAAATCTTGCTGCTGGTTCCCGAGGCGCTCCAGGCAATAGGCAGTGGGCGTGGGCTACTCGATCCTCATCGCTGGTAAGCGATCATATGATCCATCCCCCTATTTTCCTCGCATTTTTTCTTTTGAATGTAAAGTTTTCTTTTCCTGATAATCCCTTTCGTTTCCCAGTTGTTTTTTTTTTCCAGCGATGGTGGAGGGAGCACACTCGTGCGAAGCAAAAAATCGTGCATCGAATGGTTGAGTGGAGCTATACCAAATGATAAACTTGAGACGAGAGTCCCGATCGCCAGCGTCAAAGTTTTGCTGGAAGAAGTTGAGGAGCGCGACGGTGATGTTCGTGGCCGAGCTTGGCATCGTCTTGTGCTGCTTCCGCTAGCTTCTCATTCCGAAAGGATCCGGAAAACTAGACTTTCCAGGCATCTTTTCCAGCTTTGCTTGACACGATCGGGGTGACATACAATCTCTGCCTTGGGAGCGGACACGAGCAAGGATCGGTACGGTTTTTATATGCTAGGAAGGCGAAACGCCATAGACTTTGTGAGTGATTGTTGTCTCTTAACTCTCTTCTCACTCCAAGAACGCGAAAGTAGGGGAGCACCGAAAGAAAGAGGGGAAGAACCTCGCGAATCGCTGATCCTCCTTTGCAGCATTCGTCCATCCATCCGACGGAGCGTTTCTTTTTGCGATTTCTTTTATTCTTTATTTATTTATTTTTTGTTGCAGAGGCATGGTTGCTGCCTAGCAAGTTGCTCGCCGGTCACCTCAAGAACAGGCTTTTGCTCGCTCCTTTTCTCGGCTCTTCCAACTTTATTCTAAGTGGAAGAACTTCGTCTATCCACTGAATTTTACATACAGAAGGGGTGATTTGGCGCATCTCTGATCTTTGGATCTTCATACGAATTCACAAGAATGTTATGGAATAAAGAGTTCTTTTGAGTGAGGAGGAGAACACAGAATCGGCACTATAAACCTGGGGAAAATGCTCAAATAATCTTAAGGCGGAATCGAGATATCCAGGCGCTGATCTATGCCTCGAACACCGCCACGGTGATCCTTGCCGTGTGCTTCTTCGGGAACTTTGTAGAGCGGTGACGTAATGGCAAGCAGATCCTTGTGTAAGCGAGTTGACGACGATACTTGATCTTCCTCTCTTTGTGGCCGTCATAAGGTTCCCGTGGCCGAGGCTAGTGGATCTTCCAAGCCTTGTGCTTTGAGGGACTTGAGGTTCTTCTTTGCAGGAGCTCCTTCTTCGACCATCATCTTCTTGGCAGCCTCAATCCATCGCAAGGCACCACATGAGAGCTGGAGGTGGCGCCAGTGGCACTCGTGCTTTAAAATCCACTGCAAGAAAGGATTCAGATCCCGATCCTTCCAAACACCATCATCGGGTGCATGCAACTCCTGGAGCACATTCCGAAAATACACCTCCACAAACCCAGGCTCATCGTAGCTATGTGCTATGTTTGCCAGACGGTCAGCAGCAGCTCCGGTATGGTAAGCCCAATAACAGCCATATTTCTTGACAGGACAAAACCGGTGCTCCGGAGCTTCCACACAGGGTACTGCATGTAGTCCTCCAACTGAATTCCGAAGTGCACACCATTTCTCCAAACGATGCAGTCTGGACTCCTGTGCAATGATTCCTGGACTCCTGTGCAATGATTACCAAAGGCATCGTGCAGCTTACTGAACAACACTCTATCGCAAAAAAGTTTGATATCCGCTTAGCTCATATGAAAGGTCTGTCCTCCTAGCCACGGGAAATGAAATAGTGGAGGCTTGCTCTCTAAAATCTCTGGAAATGTAACCAAATGAGACCGGACGAAATGTTGCAAGCCTCCATGTTTGAGACATAGTGCTAACCCAAAATAATTTACTTTGCTTAAGCAAACCAAAAGACACGCAATAATAGCACATGCTCATTTAGCTGATTTTTTGCCAAAAAGCTTGACGCACGTGTCTAAAAGACTTACAAAACTTTGTAGAGTACCTGTGACTTTTTCTTCTGGAGTACTCCCACGAGAACCGTTCGTTCGTAATTAAGGGCTCCGCTTTGTAAGAAAGCAAAGCACCATTCTTACAAATGTGCCACGCTTAGCCATGTCTGTAGGATTTGCGGAAAATGGCTCGGTAGCTACTTCATTGCGTTTTGGTGGTTATATACAAGAGGATTAGCAACTCTTGCCGGTTATGTGATGTGGCTAGTGCTCCTTCTCAAGGTTTCCGTTACCTAGCTTGAGTGTCTTTAGGAAGACTTGATCCTGTACACGAGGTAGAGCCTGCAGCAACAAAATTCCAGAAGAATTTTGCCTTTGTCGATGAGTTCCCAGATGAAATGGAACCTCAGTTCGGTGTGCTTCATTCTTGAATGGAATCGAGAGTTCCTTGTGAGAGCAATGGCAGATGACACGGGGTTCTCGTGGATCAAAATGTCCGATCACAATGGACAGCTTTGGTCCCTTCCGATGTGAAATATTATCTCAGCCCAGTACTCCCACGAGAACCATGTGAACTCGTTCGCCGTTTAAAAAGGTATCGCTTCCCAATGCGTTGATAGTTGAATCTCTCATCCAGCATGGATTCGCTGCTGGGCATGTCTTCCGCGGCACTCTCGCTCGATCGCGTCAAGCTCAAGCACCGGAGCCGATGCCCACTTCTGCCCAATCGCTCCCGGGGTACGCTCAAGATCACCGCCAATGCCAGGAAAGAAGCCAATGCAGCAACAGGGGAGTCTGGTAATCCCTCTTTCCCCTCCAAGAAAGGTAGCTCCACTCCGGCCTCGATCATCGATCGCCGCGAGCTCCTGGCAGGAACAATCGCCGGCGGAGCTTCGCTCGCGGCGTCCCCTACTGGTCCCGCGCTCGCCGAGCCCGTGGGATCGCCCACCTTCAAGCGCTGCCAGCCCGCCAACATCGCCAACACCAACACCTTCGTGGCGTGCTGCCCGCCGAAGCCCAAGCGCGACACCATCGACTTCAAGCCCGACACCGGCCCCATGCGCATCCGCCCCGCCGCCCATCTCGTGGACGAGGACTACATCCAGAAGTACAACGAGGCCTACGCCAAGATGCGCGCGCTCCCCTCGGATGATCCCCGGAGCTTCCGGCAGCAGGCAAACGTCCACTGCGTCTACTGCAACTTCGGCTACCGCCAGGAGGGCGATCCAAAGTCAACCCTCCAGATCCACTTCAACTGGCTCTTCCTGCCGTGGCACCGCTGGTACCTCTACTACCACGAGAAGATCTTGGGCAGTTTGATCAACGATCCAACCTTCGCGCTGCCGTTTTGGAACTGGGACAACCAGGACGGGGGGAGCTACATCCCGGAGATGTTTCGGCGCGAGGGCACCCCCATCTTCGACGCCAATCGCAACGAGGCGAACTACGCGCCCGCGCGAGTGGATCTCGGCTACGCGCCCGGCGTCGACCCCAGCTTCGGCGAGCCCACCTACAAGACCGACGATCAGATCCGCCAGGACAACATCTCCGTCATGTACAACAACGTCGCTAAGGTCAAGCTCCAGGACGCCTTCTTCGGCGCTCCCATAAGGTACGTGTGCATGGCCAGAAAAAGGTGACGAGCCATGTCTTATGCAGGAAAGGAAACAATAATGGTGGCGATGGATCCCTGGAGAAAGCCCCACACACGGCCGTGCACATCTTTGGTGGCAGCCCCAATAACCCCAATGGTGAGGACCTGGGCAACTTCTACTCGGCCGGGAAGGATCCACTCTTCTACTGCCACCACGGTAACGTGGACAGGATGTGGGACGTGTGGAGGTCCCTGGGAAACCAGGACTTCACGGACGCCGACTACCTCAACACCGAGTTCCTCTTCTTCGATGAGAACCAGGACCTCGTTCGCGTCAAGGTGAAAGATTCCATCGACAACCAGACGAAGCTCAAGTACAAGTACGCGTCCATGCCCCAGGACAAGGTCTGGATCAACTACAAGCCACTGCCGCTCGCAAAGACGGCCTTCGCGCAGCCCAAGAGTTCGATCGTTGCTTCGTTGGTTCCTGGAGCTACTGCTATGGCGGCTGAGTATCCACTCGTGAAATTCTCGTCCCAGAACGCCGAGCCTGTCAAGGTTGGAGCGGGCCCGCTGACGATCACGGTGGCGCAGCCCAAAGGCAGCGCTTCGGACGAGCTCCTGGTCCTGGAAGAGATGGTGGTTGGGATGCAGAATAACACTAACTTCAACGTGTTCATCAATCTCCCTGAGGCCAACGAGACCACCACGCTCTCCTGCGCCGAGTACGTCGGCTCTTTCTACAACATCCCCCACTTCATGCCCGGGATGACCGAGTCGAGCACTCGGACCACCAACGCCCGCTTCTCCATCAAGCCCAACGTCGAGATCTTGGGGTTGAAGGACGCGGACAAGCTCGTTGTCACTCTGGTGCCGCGCGGGAAGGACAAGGAGAAAGTCTTCACGTTCAAGGGGGCCAGCATCGAGTACGCTTGATTTTTTATGGAGCTCTAACTTTCGTTCTGTTTCATTTGGGTTCCTGTTATTGGAAAAAGAACACCAGAAAGCCAGCTGGCATGGTAAAAGGAAATCGAAATGGTGTTACTTGATGTTGCAATTTCCAATGTGAAGATAAAGCTTTCTACGTAGATGCACTATCTAGACCAAAAATGCCACAATGAGAAGTATTCTAAGAAAGATCAAACAACGCTTCCAACGAATGAAGACTCCTTGAGGCTACAGCTCTACTTGAATCTGTTTGATCTACAACCTGCAAGGAATCTCACTTGAGAAAAAATCTTCATAGGCCGGGAAAGCCGACTAAACGCTGAGAAAATTGATACATGAAAGATTCTAAAATCCCAGGAAACCTTTTTCTCTCTTCCTGTACGTTCCAAGCCTGGTAAAAGTTATAGAAACCGTTCTCTTGACAGGATATTGTCTCCGGAATAGCTTCGATTGAGCTCAAACAAACGTTATAGCTCAAATGAAACAAGCTGTTCTAAGGTCTGTCCTCCTAGCCACGGGAAATGAAGCAGTGGAGGCTTGCTCTCTAAAATCTCTGGAAATGTAACCAAATGAAACCGGACGAAATGTTGCAAGCTATGTTTGGGTATAGAATCACATGGTGCTAACCCAAAATAATTTACTTTGCTTAAGCAAACCAAAAGACATGCAATAATAGCACATGCTCATTTATCTGTTTTTTTGCCAAAAAGCTTGACGCACGTGTCTAAAAGACCTATCAAACTTTGTGTGACTTTTTCGCCTGGAGTACTCCCACGAGAACCGTGTGACTCGAGTTCGTTCGTAATTAAGGGCGCCCCTTTATAAGAAAGCAAAGCACCATTCTTACAAATGTGCCACACTTAGCCATGTCTCCCGCGGCACTCGCGCCAAGCTCCAGCACCGGTCCCGATGCTGCCCGGGCCGCTCATGATCACCGCCAGCGCCAAGAAAGAAGCCAATGCATAAGGTACGTGTGCATGGCCTTGATTCTAAAAGGTGACCAATGTCTCATTCAGGAAAGGAATGTGGGTGGCGATGGATCCCTGGAGAAAGCCCCACACAAGTCTTTGGTGGCAGCCCCAAGAACTCTCATGGCGAGGACCTGGGCAACCCACTCTTCTACAGCCACCACGGTAACGTGGACCGGATGTGGAACGTGTGGAAGACTGAAAAGCGGAAACGAGGACATCGACAACGAGCAAGCCTACAGCCGTGGCTTGAAGTTGATCCAGCTGCTTCGTTGGTTCCTGGAGCTACTGCTATGGCGGCCAAGTATCCAGTCGTGAAATCCTCGTCCCAGAACGGGGAGCCTGTCAAAGTTGGAGCGGGCCCGCTGGCGATCACGGTGGCGCAGCCCAAAGGCAGCGCTCGGGACGAGATCCTGGTCCTGGAAGAGATGGAGATTGGGATGCCTACCTTCAACGTGTTCATCAATCTCCCTGAGGCCAACGAGAGCACCACGGTCGCCTGCGCTGAGTACGTTGGCTCCTTCAACAACATCCCCCACTTCATGCCCAGGATGACCGAGTCGAGCACCCGGACGCCCGCTTCTCCATCAAGGAGAACGTCGAGATCTTGGGCTTGAAGGACACGGACAAGATCGTTGTCACTCTGGTGCCGCGCGGGAAGGACAAGGAGAGAGTCTTCACGTTCAAGGGGGCCAGCATCCAGGACGCTTGATTATCGTTGGAGCTCTAAGCCTGTGCTGTTTGATTTGATTTGCTTTCCTGTGTATTGGAAAAAGAAAACCAGAAAACCAGCTGACATTGTAAGAATGAAATCGAAATGGTGTTACTTGATGTTTCAATAACCAATGTGAAGCTGGCGGAAGCTCTCTACTGCATCAGGACGACGATGTCTTGTAGATCCAACTGTCTAGGCAGTATCCTACCAAAAATGCTCCGGCTAAGTCGCCAACGGCCAGACCTGGTCGAACACGCACAACGAAAGGAATGTAAGCTGGAAGCGAAGAAAAGGAAGCACTCACCAATCCATGTTCCCGTGGAAGGCTTTATTAGCACAGCCCCACACCCGGCTCCAATCGATGCACACGTTAGCGATGCCACTGCCTTTAAGGAGTTCCCAGCTGTTCTTCGTGCCAAGCTGTGGAGGACATCTATCTCTTTCTTGTTCCCTTTGGCGCGGCCCGGGTTTTGCCTGTGAATGTAGATAACTCTCCCGGATCTGTAAATATCAAGAACTTCTTGGACCAGGCAACTCGCTCCAACTCCGAGAGCATGAGCTGAGAAAAAACAAGACCAAAGTAAAATCGCAACTGCTTTGAAAAAACTGTGTCTGAACCTCGGAAGGTTGTTTTCGCGACACCCGTGAATAATTCGATCTTCGTGATGTGTCTTCTGGCCTTTCTCACGGCAGACTTTGGAACGTCTGGAAGATAAAACGCGTTAGAACGAGAGCAAAGAAGCTCACACGCAAACCTTTTAAAAGCTTCCAAGCAGTCCGGGCGGAGACGACTTGCACAACAATGCGCTCCAAAACTCGCCTCACAGTGATTACAGAAACCTACAACAACAGGAAAAGAAAAACATAAGCTCTCAGGCAAAGAAAAAGAAAGAAGATGGTTTACCTCGCGGAAAGCGTGAGTCCCCGAGCGCTTGAAAGCCAGCCTGAAATCCGGAGAAGTCTCCGTGGGACGATCCTCTTCGTCGTCCTCGTCCTCCTCGACCTTCATGTACGCCTCGAGCAGCGGGAGGAAATTCACGAGCAGCGCTCGCAACCCAGTGGTGCCAAGAGCTTTCGGCCGGAACGCCGAGAAGAGCGGCTTGAGCTCGATGTCGTAAGTCTTGAACGCATATCTCTTGCTCTCCTCGGTTCCATACGTGGGCATCCATCTCCCCAGCCAGTCGTCCTCGGACGAGTCGACTTTGGCATCGCAGAACGCCCAGTTCCTGGACAAGCGTCAGATCACGCAACCCGGCATTGAAATCTGGAAGGGCATTTCCCTAGAAGTATCGATGGAAGGTTTCTTACCTGGGAAACAGAGACGCGATCCCAGCTACCGATGAAGCGCTTAAGAGCGCGGCGGAATGCAAGGCGTTGCTCGATGAGGAGTCGAGAGCCAGCGCCAAGCCTTCCATCGCCTAGCACGAAGAATTAGGTCACACAGACAACAAAGAACAAAGAAGCGAGTATATTCTAGTTTTATTCTAAAGAATGGATGCCGCCGAGAGAGAGCTTCGATCTGGCGGGCCACTGGATCTTGGATCGATTGCTGCATCGTCGCGTGGGAGGAGCTGCGATCTAGAAATGCTGATCAGAGGCAGATCTCGCGGAACACCGGCAGCCTGGATCTTGGAGCCATGGCGGCCGCGTTGTCGTGGAGGAGGAGCTTGGTGAGATTCATCGCCGGCGCGACGAGCGGGGGGAGCTTGACGTCGGACAGCTTAGGCGTGGCGTGGATGAATCGGCAGCGCTTGCCGTAGGGACAGGTTCCAGCCGCGGAGAATGTCCTGCAAACCTGGATTTGAAAGATTATCGATCGATCAACGAAATATCTGTGAGAGAGGAGATCGAGGAGAGCGAGATTTCTACCTCGGTCTTGTATTTCGGATGCCGATTGACTGGCCGGAGATCTTCCTTGCCGTGAGCAAACTGGCACTTGTTGCCGTAGCGACAGGAGCCCGTCTCCTCCCACGATCGGCACAGCTCCGTCTTGTACAGCTTGCTCGCGTCCGATTCCTCGGCCATCGCCTTGGCGATCGATCGATGGAGAGGACAGTGGAAATATTTCGAGCGCTCAAAACGAGCGCTCTCCCAAGAACTCCAAGAACAATGAGAGAAAGAGAACTAAAAAGAGAAATGTGAGTAAAGCCTAGAAATCTCTCGTCCTCTCGTATTTGTACTCCCGCCAATTCCCTCTAGAAAGTTTTTAACCCCACTCATTGTCACAATGATTGCCAGGTAAGAAATCCAAAGCTTCACTAGCTTTCAAACTCAACCGTTCGCACGAATATCCCCTAAACCCCCCGTGATTATTCGCATCTTTCAACCGGCCACTGGAATATTCACCGTTAGAACCCTAAAAATGCTGGTGTCTCGATTGGGCTATGGCGGGCGAGCTCTCCTCTCCAAATGCCGGCGCCTGGCGCAGGGTAAGCGCAATATCCACAACATCGACTCCTCCGACGACGATCGCGGCGGCGATCACACAGGCTTCACAGAGGACGAGGAGGAGGAAGCGCAGGAACAGGAAGAACAAGGGCGTAGGGTAGTGATCGTGTGGGATATTACGACGAGCAAGCCGCCGGTGTCGATGGATCCACAAGTAGCGGCGCTCCGGGTCAGGGATCTCGCCGACGCATTCGGCTTCGTGGTGGATCGATCGGCCTACGCGGAGCCCCGGATTCCAGTGACCGATGCCCGGCCCAGGACGTATTACGAGGAGAAACTCATGGCATCGCAGCTCAAGCCGGTGTGGTACCAGGACGTCCCCCATCAGAGCGCCGAGGACTACGTCTACAAGTGTGGCTACTGCGGGAGAACGCTAAGCAGCCACCACTCGCTCTACAAGCACTTTAAGCAGATCCACGCCCCGGAGAGGGCCAAGCGCGTCCACAAGCTCAACCGGATCCATCGCGGGCAGCGGCGGGACGAGTACGCTCTGGCGATGGCGGACAAGGAGCAGCGATACCGCGCGGCGCTCCGAGAGATCGTCATGCCCAAGCTGGTCGTCAGCGATGAGCTTTGCAGCGCGCTCACGAGGGCGGGATTTCTCGTCCGGCTGGTGACCGAGAAGCCACTTCGCCATCTCTTCCTCACCGCCCAGGAGTCGGCCGTGATCAACCATCTCTGGCAGGCGGCCTGGCTCAACGTTGCGTGCATCGTGCTGGTGAGCGATTCGTGCCGGTTCGGGGATTTCATCCGGCTGGCCAGGGAGCAGCGCGGGGTGAAGTTCGTGGGGATCAGCGATGGATTGAGCGAGTTCCGGATGGGTGTGGATTTGTTTATCAGCTGGGAGGAGATTGAGCGCGGGCGGGGGTATGTGTGGGCGACCGAGGCTGCGCGGGCTTGGTTCTCGGGGCCTCGCTTGTTCGCGAAGAGATCGACGCTGCGAAAGAGGCAAAAGTATGGTGGCGGTGGCGAGTTTGATCCCTTTCGCGAGTGAGAAGAGGAGTCAAGTTACTTCGATCTGGCCTGGAAGAATTGAGCTCTTAACCATTTTGTGATGAAAACAAAGCATATTCTAACTGATGCTTATCTAACGGCTTAAAGATATGTATTTTAAATTGGAATTAATTAATTTAGAATTCAAGTATTTTAATATCTTTTAGATTATCTTGTTTATTAGTAAAAATGTTGCGATAGTCTTAGTCTAAAAATGTTGCGATAATATTTTTTTTATTTCCCAATAATTATATAAAAAAGTATTTAATATAATTTTACATTTAAATATATTCATGTATATTCTCTATATTTAACCAAAAAACATTATTACATAAAATAATTAACTAGTTATTTTAGTTTTCTTGTTCAGCATTATGTATAGCAAGGAAAGATATTTTTAAATTAGTAAACAATTATATAATTAACTATCTATTTTTAATTTATAAATTATTAAATTTTAAAAATTAAAAATTACAAGATTTTAACCTTAGAAAAATAAAAACTACAATCAACACTATTTATATCTTGTTTATTTTGTATTTATGATTGTTTGAAAGTCCTCATAAAACTTATAATAAATTTTTGTTAAGTTTAGCAAATATATAAAATATCTATTTAGTTTATAAAAGACCAAATCAATAAAAAAAATTTGTTTCTTTTTTACAAAGTATTTAACATTTTTAAATTGTGCTTTTCACTTAAAAATAAAAATCTAAATTATTAAGTCTTATAATTGTTAAATATAGATATACAAATTACTTATCATGTAACCATTAAAGACTATATAGAGTAATAAAACTTAATAAATTTATTTCTTAAAGCTACCATAGAAGTCATACATGCTTTATGGAAAAAAATATTCTACAAAAGTCAAAACCTTTTTATTTTTATTTTTCTACTTTTAGTTTTTATATATATAGGGTAATAAAACTTAATAAATTTATTTCTTAAAGCTACCATAGAAGTCATACATGCTTTATAGAAAAAAATATTCTACAAAAGTCAAAACCTTTTTATTTTTATTTTTCTACTTTTAGTTTTTATATACTTTGTTGCATATTACTTTTATTATTTTTTTTAAGGTCTCTAAGTATATATGTTCCATTAAATAGAGGTTTGTTGGACACTTTTCCAAAACTTAGAGAACTAGCAACACTTGGGCAAATTTAATCATCCTACATCATTATATATATATACACACAGACATACATACATACATACATATACACACACATATATGTATGTATGTATGTATATATTACCCTACCTTGGTAATACATTAATTAAAATACTATAGCATAATTTGGGATTGAATTTGATCCATAGAGTATAAACCTTAATTAATATACAATTTATCCCTAGAGGGCAAAGTTTTCTAGCAATGTTTTGCTCAATGTTTGAGATTATGTTTTTGTTTTTATTCTATCACTTTTCTTTTCTTTTCTAGATTTGCTATAGTTTTTTGCAAGATCTAGGATTATATCTTTTTGAAATGTTCTTCTTTTAATCTTTATTTTATTCTCTTCTTTTGCCATACCACATTATTATCAATCAAGGAGCATATCACTTTAGGTTGCTAATGCTATTCCATTGGATTGAATTTTTAGTGTTATAAGGTGTAATTATATTAGTGTTGCTCTAGTCTTTGATATGTACAAACTTAAATGGATTCTAGAATATGATAAGAAGATTAATTATTATAAAGATAACTTTGAAGATGAGTTGAAGATTTGACAATCTTTCAATTTGCCATTTAATGCTTTCTTTTTGCCTTACCAGCTATATTGACTTTTTACCGTGTGGCAATAAAGAGAGAATGTCCATAAAGATTGATTGACATTTTACGCTTTTCCAATCTTTTTTCTTATTTTTTATATCTAGTATTTCTTCTTTATCTACAATATTTCCTTTTTCTGACATGTTAATCATTTATGACTTTTATAACTTTCATTCTCAATCTAGTGTTGAGCTAAATGTTTTTTATCATACTTATATTATGTGTGAAGTTTAAGAATCTTACTTTTATTTCTTTGGCGAAATCTTTGATTAGTTCTTATGTTGAGTATACCACTATTCCAAGGTTGACCACTTTTGCTAGAATTTTAGTTAAGTGTATATCCCTAATTATTAATGTTATTAAGAGCCTTTTCTTTATTATTATTGCTAAGGAGTTTATGTGTTCTTTTTAAGAATATGGACATTTTTATTGATTTTCTTGTTTCATGTGTTGAATAGTATTTTAAAGAGGTTAAGTGATGTGAATCTTTTATTTATATTATGATCATGCCCTACAATACCAAAAGCTTGATCCAATTGAGTAGCACGAACAGCCTCAAGTGACATATTCCTTAATCAATGATGATGTGGCATGGCAAAAGAAGAAAATGCAATAGCTATAATCCTAAACCTAGAGAAAAGTTAATATAAATCTAGATTTAAAAGAGAAAGAAACAAATAAGAATAAAAGTATGATCCCAAACACTAGAACAAAGCATTGCTAAAAATCTTTGCCCTCTTGAAACAAATTGCAATAGTTCTCAAAACCAAATTAAGTCCTCAATAAGATATAATTTTATATATTTATAGACCTGACAATACAAAACTAAAAATCTTAAAATTTATATTATATTTATCCTTATCTTAATTTTGTTCATTTATGCACTAAAACCATGGGGAAGACATTCTTGGACATCCTTGTGGACAAGTCCTCGAAAGAAAAATCTCTCAGCCTTTCACCATCCATTTCAATTTACTTAAAGGTTCATAAATTATAAACATGTTTATAATTTGTAAACATCAGTGAATTTTGTGGTAGCAGCATTTTACTACCCGCCACAATATTTGTAGTTCATTTTTACTACCAATTACTGTAAGCTAATATATTTGTAGTACAAAATAGCTATGACTAAAGTATATTCCTATTATGCATGAATACCTAAAAAATAAACTTAAAAACAAGATTTTAGTGATCACAACAAAGTTGACTGTTAGATACATTCTAATTTTAATAAATATAAAGTAAACTATAATTACTGTAAATGAGATTTTATTATATAGAATAAGTAATGCGCTCATTCAAATTTGCATTTAAATTTGTCTAATGTGCATTCATAAAAAAGTTATAACTTTTTTAACCCCTTCTACATTTCTAAGTTGGAGTTGGCTTAGTTTCTGTGAAGTAGCCAGTAGCCAATCCACCAACTTGCTACATAATTTAATCAACATGTGCAGCATAGTAGTGTTACTAGGCACTCCACAACCTCACAGTGCTCATCTGAAACATCCTTACCTCGGTGTGCATCTGCAGAGGTGTTTGATCGGCTTCCTTTTTGGGATGAGAATGCTGCTATGGCTTCCTTGCCCAACAAAATTTGAGAGACAGTTTCAAGATCTCTCCTGCATGGTTGCCAAGGGCTGGGACGCTCTCAAGAACGTTTTGTTTTTGGTTTTATGTTGAATTTCATCTCCTAAAACCTTTCTTACCTCAACTTATAGTCTTGTTTATATTATGGCGGGAGGAACCCTTGAACACAGGTGTTTGGTGTACGAGTTCTATATCACAGATTAATATATCAACGAGAGATTTCTAAGCTCCAGGCGCAAATTTCTGCTCAAGATTTCCATAACGACTTCTTATTTCTCCCTTGTAAAAAGGAATCACTTCTTTATTAAGGATAAGATTTTTATTGTATGAAATATCTTTTTTTGAATCATCTCATGTAAGGATTTCTTTTTCCATCTGATTGTATGTGTAAGATTTCCTCCTTTTACAATCTTGTAAATTCCTATGATTCTTATATACACGTAGTTACGAAGTCATTTATTCGCCCTCTTTTCAAAATTTCACGTAAATAAGTGAAAATAAGTACTTAAAACTTCTGCTTTCGTCTCTATCACGAGATGCTGCAGCCAAATTTTTGCGATCGCTCCATGTCTTCCAGTTCCGCGATTATTTCCCGAAACGATGGCCTCTTTTTGGCATCAAAGTCCAAGCAACGAGTGAGAAGCCTGTCAATCAAAGTAGAGCACCTCTTCATAAAAAAAACTGGAGGAACGGAAAACAAAAAACGAGAGAGAGAGAAAGACCAAACTAAAGTTCTGGGCTTAACTGTTTCATATTCGTCGGATACTTTGCTGTGAAAGCTGGTTTATAGCCATGCCTGGCCCTGTCCTCCACAGCGTGAATTGGATTCTCATATCTATTCCCTACATGACCTTCAAACATCTGGAGCAAGTTGAAACAAAGTTCTCTTGGGGGATCAGGTGTGAAAATACCTCATAGACGATGAGAGCAAACGAGTAGACGTCGACGCTCTTGTCATAGGATTGATGCTTGAACACCTCCGGCGCCATATACCTGTCTGCTTCTTCACCGTTGAGCGTAAGAACGAAACCATGTCAAGGATCTCGCCATCGAAATTAAAAGAGAACTTACAAGATCCTGTTTCTCCGGTCATCTTGTAGACTTCGTCCACCGTAGCGCCGGAGGCTTTAACAAGCCTGCTCAATCCAAAATCGCCAACTTTCAAATGGCCCGCGTCGTCCAGGAGTATGTTTCTGTTGGAAAGAACAAAACATCTCTAGTTTGAGTGTTTTGTTCAAGTGATAACTTACGTGGGCTTCAAGTCCCGGTGTATAACTGGCTCTGGCTTGTGCTCGTGAAGAAAATTCATGCCTCTAACGAAAGGAAAACATATAGAAATGAAGTGAGTTCATGAGTTTACCTTGCAATGTCGAGAGCAAAATGAAGAACTTGTTTCCCGCCCAAGGAGCCTTTGCTCTTTCTTCTGAGTAGAGCTTGTAAGTCGCCCTGTGAGAAGAGGCACGCATGAGTTTCATGACAAGCAAACCACTTACTTTGGGGAGGTATTCTGTGATTATGATCAGGTTTTCTTGCTTAGTGACGGCTCCTAGAAACTGGACAATGTTTGGATGATGGAGCTTTTGCAGCAAGACGAGCTCCCTCACGAACTCTCTTCTGCAAAACCATGATATGTTGGTGTGAAACAAGGAGTTCACTCGAGCTCTCGTGTCAGCAAGCTTACACGACTTGCTTGTCCTGTAAGAGAGATGTTAAGATCGTCTTTGCAGCAACCTTTGTGCCTCGCCATTTGACCACTCGGATCTCCCCAAAAGCACCCTGTTTGAGTTTATCAAGCAAAGCAAATCTAAGCTTCCAAACAAGAATCGAAGTGACAAAACTTACTCTCCCGATGGGATCATTGTTGCCAATCCTCTCAATCTCCCCAGGATCTATTTCGTACTCGGGTACAACTGATTCCTTGACAAAGGAAATCAAGATCACTCATGAACAAGGATAAAGAAGAACAACAAAGAACTTACATAGTCCATGGCTTCGTGGGCCTCGAGAAGCTTGCAAATACGCATGTGTCCATAGCGTCGCGCATCAGCTAGAGGCTTCACAAGAAAAAAAAAAAAAAAACCGAAGAAATCAATCAAAAAGAGAAGAACTCATACCGTTCGTCCCCATCGATCTCTGGGGCTAAGATCGACTCCATGCTGGATGAGAAGAAGCACACAGTCGGCATGGCCCTCACTGGCAGCCAAATGTAGCGCGGTCCTCTTGTCATAGTCGGCAACGTCCTTGTTCACGCCCTCTCGCAAAGCTTGGCGGAGACCCTCTACGTCGCCACGGCTCGCGCAGTAGAGCAACTTCACCGTGTCAGCTTCCTCGCGCGACGTGATATCATGATCCTGTTCCTGGATGGCTCCCAAAGAAACAGTCAAGAAAGAAAGTTCTACATATGGACTGTTCTTCCAGTTTTAGATCTCTCTCGTACCGTCATGTTTGACTTTGGAAGAGCTCAATCCATGCGCGAGCAGGCGTGTGGATCCGGATCCATTCTCTTCCTTCCCTGTAACACATGCATGAACCCCAAATCTTTGCGGAAGAAAAAATGCGCGATCGACCTGGACGATCGAGAAAAGGATGAGAAGCTCAAGAGCCAACCTTGAATCGATTGAGCTGCGCTCCTCAAGGAGAGGTGTCCCAAATCGTCATCCACAATCGCGGTTACCGAGAAGCCCTGGATAAAAATCCTTCCAGCTTGAGCTGGTCCGCCGGTTTTAGCACCCTTCGATCGTGGCTTGTCCTGTCCCTTAGCGCGCAGTGAAAGAAGAGAGAATATCTGGGCATCTTGCCACCACGCGTACGCTCACAATAGGCCTTCCGTACGCTGGATCCAGTGGGACAAAACCCTATCGATGATCCCGAAGATCCATTTGGAGGGAATCCAA